GTCATTGGCGCAGGAGTTGTTGGGGTCATTGGCGCAGGAGTTGGGGGAGTCATGGGCGTTGAAGTTGGGGGGATCGTGGGCACAGTCACCGGTACCTAGGGAGGGGAGGGGGGCGCACGGCACTCTTATGTTTGCATGCCTTAGCGGTTAGGCGATTGACCACGGAGGGTTAGGGTTAGGGGTTACAAAATAGGGTTAGGGCTGGGGTTAGGACGTTGACCACGCGTCCTGAGGACGGGGAATGACGGAGAAGTTTGCTCTCACAAGACCGATCACCGATGGCCAATAGTTCCTTCCTACTTGCCAAAGTTGGCTCAAACTCAAACTCAAAACGTTTTTCCTCTAGCCTTACCTTTGCTAACGGAATCACGTCCCGCGGTTTTAACCTACCTCCCAAGTCCCAGTAGATCCACCTTCTTCTCCTGGCCACCCCATGCCTGAAACATCTCCCTGTACCTTTTTCTACTTTTCCCAGCTCAAGTCCTGTACATTTCCCTCTCCCTTGTACAGCGGACATTCCAAAACTACATGAAGCCGATCTTCTCACGGTACCTCAGTCGGGGGCGTCATTGGAGCAGGAGTCGGGTCCGTCATTGGCGCAGGAGTCGACGGTACGGAGGCATCCGGTGTAGGGGCTGGTGCGCCCGTTATGTTTCCCTGCAGGATTGTGCATGCAGCAAAGGGCGGAGGGGAGGGGGAGGTACGGGGTGGGACACCCAGTCACCCAACGCGCGGAGTGTCGTGCTCTACATCGTCGCCGAGAAGTGCCGGGCTTCCAACTCTTATCAATCGTTCGGTTTGGTTTGATGCCGTGGTTGGTACACGGATGGGCGCAACCGGGACGGCGCAAAGCGACGGCTACAACCCCCCCAATTAATATACCAAAAACGAGAGAAGTAAAGTGATTATATACAACCCATGAGAAAAAGCAGCAGGCAAAAGACAAAAAAACACTACTGCTGAAAAGCAGCAGTCACGGAGGGAGGCGCCTTGAAAAAAACAAAACAATGGTGGGTGACGTCGGCGGCAGAGGGAAATCCAACAAACCCTCTCCTCTGGCGGTCTGAATGACGGTGAGCTGGGCAGGCACGATTCCATTCAAACACCAAAGAAAACACTGATGATCCCATCTCAAACGGGGGGGTGTCATGAATGATTGCTCTCGGACGGCGTTTTAGCATCATTTAGGGCCGAAGACTACATGCTAAGAAGAGGGTCGACCCCTCAAAGAGAAGCCAGTCGATCATCAACGGTCACGGCTACGGTGTAACTCAGCGTTGGGCCATGAAGACGTGACGCCGAGCGATTCAAACGAGAGAGAGGCCGGGAGCGGACTCCCGTAACATGCCACGTCACCTACAAGCTCACCTGAAGCCTGCGCGCGACGGCAGGCACCCCTCCGCCCAGCTCGGTTAACGTCACCCCCGTCGCGTGGGCGCCCCATCCGTTACCAGCGCCCGGGACGATACCAGCGATCCCATTAGCAGCACCACCGGGGGGCTCGGTAGACGGAGACTGTGCCCCCGGACCATCAGTGTCGCCCGCTCCTCCGAATGCCAGGCCTTTGCGCCCAGTGACTGCAGAACGGGGTCCGTCTCCTGTCTCTCTCCTGTTCGCAGGGTCCATCTCCCTTCTCCTCCTGGCCGCCTCCGACCGTCCGCTCCCATCAACAGCACCACCACCAACGCCGCCGCTGCCTCGAATGAGCCCGCCACCGGCGGCATCCTCATGAGCAGCAGCTTCATAATCGCCCCCGTCGCCGGAGCCTGCACCGCCGACACCCAAAAACCCGCTCTCCGATAGCGCGTCGTCGTCCCCTGCGCCGCCCGCGGCCAAGGCAACAAGGCCGGACAGCACCGCGCCCAGCACCGCAGCCCCAACGCCGGCCGCTCCTCCCCCTCCGCGCTCAACCGGCCCCGCTTCGCCTGCGGTTAGCTCCACGACCCCTCTCTCCGGGGAGGCGACGGCGGTGGCGGTGCCCCTATCGGACGAACCACCTTCTCTACGCCGCCGTCCGCGTTCCCCGTCGGCACGAAGCTTGGTCTCTTTTTCTTTTCTCTCTTCTCGAGCGGGAAGATCGTGCCCACGGACCAATCGTTCGCCGCCGCCGCCGTCTGCTGCCACTCCCGCACCGCCATGAAGCAGGGAGCAACGGTAGCACTCGCGGCCTCCTTCCGGACGGTACCGCTCACGGCGGTCGCCATGGAGACTTCGACGCGGGGGCTCCGCCGCATCGCACGGTGCTCTCACGAGTACCCCCGGTAGTTCCATCGCCAACGTCTCCGGGTTTCGTAGCAAACATGGGGGGTCCTTGCGAAAACAAGCATACAGAGAGCCATCAATGATATTATGGCGCGTTTCGTGCGGCGGGGTCGCGGAGGAAAGGGGGGCGGGGGCGGGGGGGCTGTCATCAGAGGAGCGCCACGTGTTGCCCGAGTGTACCGATAGGTTCTTGTTGCCAGGGAGCAGCAAGGAAGGGTGGCACTCTTGTTTCAGGATCATTTCTTGCTCAGTACGTAGTTGTTCATTGTCCACCTTGGTTATGTGCGTGTGACCTGACGACGAGACCGCCATGCGGCCGAGTCCGGAGTTTAAAACATACTTCCATGCATATGTATAATAATAATAAAAATAATAAAATAGTCTGTAGAAGATATACTGTAGAAGATATACTGGAGTGTCTATGGTTATCCGAGTATTGCTCGACGGCGCAGGTAGCAAACACCGATATCGAAATCGACAACACCTGGGATACCACATCAACTACCGCCGTGCTACCCTGTCAATGCACTGCCTCTGTTGTGGCCACAGAAGAAGGCTATGTAGTCTCTCCATCGAATCAACCGCACCCCTCACCAGGTCGGCAATAAGATCCGTCGCCCGTCGCGAATCATCAGGAGCAGACGAACAACACGGCGGTGCCAGCAGCGCTAGCAAAAGCAGCAGCAGCAGCCATCCCGCCGGTAGCAACTTCCGTCTTCGTCGTCGCCGCCGCCGCCGCCGCGTTGTCAGGCTCTGTCGGGTACACGCGGCGCCAGCTCCTCCGTGACCCTCCGCCATCGGTAATGCACAGCAGCCGAAGCCGCCTCCACCAGCTGCTGCCGTGTCGTGGACCAGCGAATCGAGCAATCCCGGGAAATCTCGAGGAAGATGAACACCTCCGTGGGGGCTGGTGGGCGAACGTTTGGCGGACGGACGGATGGACGGACGGACGGATGGACAGGGGGATTTCACGACGGAACTAAAGTTAGGTTTTCAAGCAACAAGCCAACCATTTGTAGGGGCGCGCGGGAAGATGACCAAATCGATTCGCGGTCGAGCGAGGGCATGGAACGCGTCATCCTCATCAGAAGCAAAATGATCTTGTCAGGAGCTCAGGAGCACAAAGACCAACGCACTCTTGTTTCGTTTTGAGATAACTACCGCCGTGAATCGTACTCCCGTCCCTTGGAAAGTGTTAAGCCAAGATTGGACACCTGCTACTTTGCCGAGCGGATCTGAATAGTACTACGATCACAAGGGAAGTTGACTGCAACAGCAAATATTATCGTGAACGAAAAGGGAGAAGTAGCGTTGACGCAGCAGCAGCAGCAGAGTTCAGTTGCTCGCACAACAGAGTAAATAGCCGCCGTTTTGATTGGAGACTACTGTAGGAAAGGGGGCGCGAATGGCTCCTGATTTTGACAGTCACAGCCTTGGCGAGAGCGCACCGAATAATGCAACATGGGCTGCCGTGTCACTGCGGAAGGCACGCGCACCCCGTAGTAGTCGGTGGCATTGCGGGCCCCTACCCCAAAACAAAAGAGCGATGCAGTGTCGTTCGTTTGGTTAGCTCACCAGAGACGTCCTGCAGCACCAAGCTTACGCTGAGATGGACACGTGGAAAGCTACTGGGGCGCCACAAACTTGGGGTGAGAATCGTAAAAAATCAACAGACACTTTGGGAGGGTATTGTCGTGCACATGTACCACACGCCAAAACCCCGTGCGAGAGCCCTAATAAAAGAATCTGGAAAGTTTTGCGATACATGAGCCACAAAACGAGTGCTGCAGCGAATGGGGACGTTACGTGGCGTGACTGACTACGCGGGGAAGCGGATTAAATTTCCCGACATCTTCCCGAAGAACACAAGCATTGCGTTCCCAGGAGGGATGATGCTGCGTGCGAGTCGGCGCACGAAGGATTTCCCTCGCGACACCACCAAACCAACATCCGCCAACCCCAATTAATGAAGGGCATCTTGCAATGAGGCGGCGGTAGCAATGCCCGCTTGGGCCGTCACACACTCACTGCCTTCGACACACCATGAAATAACGCCACACCACAAGTGCCGAAGGAAATGACCGTACCTCATCCGAAATAAACGCGGTTATCCAGCAGGTGACCCTCAAACCCGCCGACTTTCAACGCACCTCTTCGAAATTCGAACGGGTGTTTATCTCTAACGGGCCAAGTTGACTTCGATACTTACAAAGTGATCGTGATGCGCTGACGTTGCTGCTGCCGTGAGTGTGGCGGGCGAAAACCACGAAGCAACCAAAGGCCGAAAACCAAAAAGGGAGAGACTTCACGAAAAAAAAAAAAACACCGTGGAGTATTGAAGAGAGGAACCTCCTGAACCTCCACAAGGGGAAATCAGAAATTAATCCTCTCTCGAGCTCCTTCCTGAGGGGCGGTGGGGGATCAATGCAGACCAGGCGGAGGATCAATCGAACCCGTTGCTCCTCAGACCTCTCTTGAGCCTGTTACATGATAACCCGTTCTTCCTCCTCGTGGGAATAGCCATAGCAGCAGCAGTGGCAAGTCTGCTGCTATGATGCACACATGCGCACGACACCGCACCCACTCCTCCTCTCCCTTTGCCGCGCTGACAATTCCTGACGCACTCTCTTCCTCTTTACGTGCCACCACACGGGGTATGATTCACTCTCGCGCCACAAATATTTTTTTCGTTGTAAATCACTCTTGAAGCATACATCTGAGCTAAGCAATTTACACCGTGTTACTGACTCTTTAGGTCTGACGGGACGTTGAGCCGTTGTTAAGCACACAGGTGTGCCGTACATATACCACAGGTGGCCGACCAAACCAAGCGCTAACCACGGCCAACGGTCAACGGACGCTCGTAGCTCTCTGGGTTTAGCGAGTCTCGGGTGTAGAGGCGCCGAGACGGGCGAGCTCTAGGTGCGAGGGTCGGATGCCCTCTCAAGAGGTCTGCATAATGTGGGGTTGCGAAACGAAACAAATTCTTCGCGGGTTGTTCTTTCAGCCAAATTCCCATCACAAGAAGGCTTTTTCTTTAGTTCCAACGAAATTCGAAAAGCTCGACGAGCTCCCAAAAATGACGCAAACCCTGTCGGAAGTGTATGTGTTGTCTTCGCATGAACAACCGTGCCGATCTCTCTACCCTATTGCTTGTCCCTAATATTAATGTCTGAACACACTTGACGGGGTCGATTCCCGTGGTCACAGGCTAACTTACTCAAAAGAGAGAACAAACAACCAAACAAAGGGGGTGCACCAGTCTGAAGGATAAGACTCCACGTAGACCAACTATCCTTTAATTATATATGCGTTGCTGTCTGCTCTACACCAGCGTGGGCACGCGGTGAACGACAGCAAGGTATGTATCTACGCCACCTTTTTGGGGGTCTACGGTTTCTCAAAGAAGAATGGGCGAGAGGGAGGAACCAAACAATATAGGGTCGGAGATATCCTGCGCTTTTCGGGAAACCACTTTGCACGCAGCGTAACGTGCTTGGGCTGCTCTGTCGTGCGATGAAACTGGAAGGTACCGTATGCATACGAACCTGTACATCTGAGCACCGCCAGCATGTGTGCCGCGCGGCAGGGCTGCAACTTACATTTTTTTTTGTGTGACGGCCAGTGGGTTGCGAAGCCGTGGGCGAGCAGCGCCCGTCCGCTACGCGCCTTCATCTACGCGCCGTTCGTTGTTGGAATGCCCTCTCATAGTCTAGATGATGAAGCTCGAGAAAATTCCACCCCAAATCGTCGGGAGGCTCTATCAAGTACAGCATTTTACCGACGTGCTGGATGAACGAAACAACTGACGTTGCTGCTGCTGCATATGGGCGGGTCGTGACCACTTGGTGTGGCGTTTGCTTTGCTTGTGTTGCTGCTGCGTAGCAGCGCCGAGAGGTAGATATCTATCTCGTGCCCCCGGCAGCTGGGCAAGGACACTCCGGCCCATCTGTAGATAAGGAGAGGGGGCTTGTGCGGTGCGCCTGCCCATAACATTTCACCCGCTTTCTCTCGCTCTCGGGGCCAGCGCAACTGACCTACTGCTGCCTGCTGCTGTCTCTATTATACAGCTGCCTACATACGTGATGTTTCTGAATTTGCAACGACGGCAGCGAGGGAACTCGAGCTACGCAGCAGGCGGGCCAGCGCAACTGAACTACTGCTGCCTGCTGCTGTCTCCATTATACAGCTGCCTAATACGTGATGTTTTCCGTCGGACAATTTGCAACGACTGCAGCGAGGGAACTCGAGCTACGCAACAGGCAACTCTCCACACCAAGCGCAGGGCAACGCGTTGCGCTGGCGCGGTCTGCAGAATACGGGCTAATAATGAGTGTTGTCGATAGCTGACAAGGTGGGAGTTCTAATTCTCCACGAACAACGGACGTGAGCATCGACGTGAGTGTGTCTCTGCCGCGTGGGATACCATTCTGTCCTCGCTGTTGTGGAACAGAAGACAGAAACCCAAAATAAACACCCGCAAGGGCAGCGTAAGACGGCCGCTCAAGGCCCCCTTCGTGCGGAAGGCATGCATTCCTAACCAACGATCGCATCGCTCTCTTCCGTACACCACTTCCACAGGTCAGGCGGTTTTCCAGCCAGCACCACATGAATGGCCCCACCTCCTTCGCGTATTATTGACTCTTCGGGTCGTCTGTCATCTTGGGAAGGCGGCGGGTGTAAGGCCATCTCTCTCTCGGGGTAAATAAAAATGAATATATCTTTTCTTATATTCTCTCCTCGTCCATTGCAGGGTTGCACAACGCACAGCCAGGGGCACCTCTAATTCGTTCCCTTCTTCTTGCCAGCGCTAACTCCATGTGTCTCGCGATTCATGGGGTGTGAGGCTTGTCCGTGATGTTCAACGAAGCATGGCGCTCCACAACACAATGCTTGCGAGCATTGCGTCAAGCGACAGGGAGGAAAGTTCCAATGCGCAATTCGCGTCTGAGTGCCATCTCTCTCTCTCGCAATCCTCTTGCCACTGCTGTGTGTCTGCTTGCCTGTCTCTATCCTCACTGATGGGAGTCTCACCTGGCACTCTCTCGCTCTATCTTCTTCAGGTTTAGCTGCTTGCTCTCTTCTCGTAAGCACAGCAGCCACAACAGCAGAGCCTTTCGTCCTTGACGATCTTCCAAAACAACAATGGAAAAGAAGGTGTTCGGCAACAGAGTTGTTTTGGCCGTTCGCAATTGGAGGCTTTTTCAAGGGAGGGGGCGGGGGGGACTTCTCCCCCAGAGGAATTCTGCGCATGGTCTGTAGGAAGTGAAGTATCTTTGCGTGTATCGTTCCCATCATTTTTCCCTCTTGCGTGTGTCTTGTTCTGTACTGCACACCGAGTTCGTTCGCATCACAGGACAGACGTAGTGTGTCGACATGGCTTTGTGCGCCAATACATCAAAGTAGAGACGCAGACAAAATCGTTTCTTCGTTGCTGTGTGTGTTTGGAGAAAAAAAAATACATGATGAGCGCGATCATTCGTCGTTCCGACGACAGGCGGTGATCGTCCCTCCGGTTTACAGCAGCAGCAGTACTGCGTACCACTCGAGGAGTTACTATCATCGGTGTGACTCTGGTCTCCACCAAAAGTCGGCACACAGGAATCCTTTTTACCCTCTGGCACGTGCGTATTATTCCCTCATCAATTGCAAGCCAACCTCGCACCTGCTCCACAGGTAGACAAATGGCTACCCGCCCAGATTCCTCTGAGGAAAAATAATCTTCTAGAGGGTTCGAAATCCTCTGGAGGATATTTTACCCTCTAGAGGATTTGTGCACGATATGCTCCGAGGGAAAAACCTCAA